TCATTTGATTCTTTTGCAGAAACTCCTTCGCGGAAAGGGCTGTAAACCGAACGGCCTTATCACTGTCCTGTTGAAGGAGTTTTGGCCTGGCCTATTCTACCCGCGGCCAGACAGGGACCCGCAGCAGTGGGTTTTGGCCACGAGCTGGGCCCACTACGAGGCTTGCAGCAACGCGGAGTACGGGACGGCCGCTAAGGCCGTGATCACCAAATTTTGGGTAAGTTCTCTTCTGAATCACTTGTCTTCAGTTTCGTTCATAGTTTATCATTGAATCACTCAACTCATGCCTTGTTTGCTTCTGGTTTATGCATGATTGCAGCAACTCTATAGAGTTCTTGACGAGCACAAGGCCAGAGCCGACGTGGTCTTGCTTGTGGCTGCGAAGAAGAAAGCTCGTCAGTTGCAGTACGAGGTGCGCTGGGTTGCCGCCTCACAGTACTACCACTACTACCTGCACCAAAAGATGACCAAAACTCAAGCGCAGAAGCTACGACTTACCTTGAACAAGGAGCAGTTCATGATGGTAAGTATTACTAACTTTTTATTGTTTCAAGCAGTCAACTATATGTTTCGTGCTCACATGTCATGCTTCCAAAATTTGCATAGGTTGTTACTCGTTGGTGCTATGGAAGGCATGACGGATGGGCGAGTTTGGTGGATAGGTGGCTCAGCGCCGATGCAGAGTTTGCTGCCAAGAGCATCAAGGCCCGGGCTAACCGTGGAGCCGACGGGACACATGGCCAAGGAAACAGGAACCACTGGGGCTTCAAGGCCATGAAGGTATATCTATGTGCATGATGCATTTTTGTTCTTCTTTACCGTCATGTTCTTATGTATGGCTGACTTCTATTTGATGTTGTCGGAGGACAAGTTGAAGAGGCCGCTCTTAGACATGGAGTCGTGGAAGCTGGCCCGCGAGCGGAGTCATCGCAAGGAGGGCGAGAGCCAGTACTACGGCAAGACCGAGGAGCACCTGGGGTCTTACATTCATCACTATCAGGAGTTGCATCCGGATGTTCCTGTTGCTGAGGTCGCCCAGTCTCAGATCGACGACACGGCGGTGGTGGCCATCCAGGGGAAGAAGAATGGCCGGTATCCGTGTTTCGACGGCTTGATCACTCCTTCGATCTCGTACACACAGCTTCGGGCTACCAACCCAAGCCAGTTAGAGAGTACGGGGCGTTCACAGACTCCCTTAGCCCGCCAGCATGCTGTAAGTACTTCCTCTTTATCTTTTTCTATCTAGCATTCTCAGTTCATTTTCAGCATTGCTCACTTAGAAACAACCTAAATTATGTAGGCATATAAGGAGTTTGTCGAGCATAGGAATCTCGAGGTGCGGAAGTACTTGAAATGAGTGAAGGCAAACGATGATTACAACCGTCAGATGATGACGGTTAGTTTTGCCCTGTTAAAACCAAGCTAAAATTTTGCACTTTCATTCCTTCTGATCTTCTAGTTTGCTTGTTTAACTAACATTCAGGCTGTGTTGGCGTCTTGGACTAACCGCACGGATCCATCACAAATGGGACCCCCACCACCACCTGCGGGAGAACCCCCACACGTGCCCACGTTCGATGAATGGGTGGCACTAGGCAGTGATGGCCTGGTTAGTACATTTGCCTAACTACTAGCAAACTAGTTCTCGTTCATTCAACACTATCATATCATATTTACCGTTAGAATTTTTTCTGAAACATGTAGGGGACCGGTGGCTCGACTCCTGCTCCGTCGACCCCAGTCACTCTGATCTGGCAGAGTGGTGGTGGTCGCGATGGCGGTTTTGGCGGAGGTGGTGGTGGTTTTGGCGGAGGTGGTGGTTTTGGCGGAGGTGGTCTTGCTTGATGATTCCGTGCATGTGGCCATCGTGCCATGCCTTTCATATTCCTACTTTTATGTTCATGAACTTCCGTCGGTGATGATCTTTAGATGATGTGATGAACTTGAGTATGTTTAGATGATGATGGTGAACTTGAGTATGTTTAGATGATGAATTGTCATATTTTTGCATAATTTCATATTGTTCTGTTTTGAAATGCTGTCAAATGAATTGGAAAATAGAAAGAAAAAACTATGCCTACGGCAAAGCCGTCGGCATACATAAGCCCAGGAGTTACCAGGGCTCGCCACGTGGCATATCTATGCCGACGGCTTTGCCGTAGGCATAGTTGGAAATCTATGCCGACGGCTTTGCCGTAGGCATAGCCCTGCTGCCAGGAGGAATCAGGAAAGGACACGTGGCAAAGCTATGCCTACGGCTAAGCCATCGGCATAGATTCAGCCCTGCCACCAGGAGTACCACGGGTTGCCACATGGCAGAGATATGCCGACGGCAAAGCCGTCGACATACCTCTGCCACACGGCGTTTCGTGATTCGTCAGCGCTTTTGACGGCGCCGTCCGTTGCCGTCAGACGAAAAACACTGTCGACGGCTAAACTATGCTGATGGCTGACGTCATGCCGTCGGCATAGGCTTCTATGCCGACGGCTATACTATGTCGACGGTCTGACAAGACTACGCTGACGACATCTACGCCGACGGGCCTATGCCGACGGCCTAGGGGCCTACGCCGACGGCCCGTGGCCGTAGGCATAGTCCACGAGTCCGGTAGTGCCGGACGGTCTCCTGGTTTCGGAGGTGAAGGACGCCTATCCAGACGTGCAGGACGACCTCCAGGCTCTGAAATCCTCGGGCGATGTCTATCTGCTACTGGGCGAGGGAGGCATCATCGCGTACCCGAACGACCCGAGGTCGATGATGGAGGTGGACGCCGAGCTCAAGAAGCTGTTCCACGACATCAAGTTGCCTCAGGACATGCTCGACATCGAGAAGGAGCTCCGGAAGAACCGCGAAAAGCCGGCCACCGATACTATGAAGCGCCGGGCGGCTGAGCAGGTCCATGGTCATCAGCCCAAGCCGAAGAAGGCCATGAAGAACTCGCGCGGGATCACCAGCAGGACCAAGATCACCAACGCTCATCTCCCGTGGCTCTTGGACCTGCCTGTGGACTCCAAAGATTCCATCTGATGTCTGTGTAAAGCACGTGATGGAGTAGAATTTGTGACTTGATGAACCTGCTATCAAATCAAAGCGATATAAGTTCACAACTGCTATTCTTTGTTGAATTACATATGGAGAACTACCAGTAGTACTATTTACAACAAGATGGTGCAAGTGCTCCAAGATTACAATCAAGTGTTTGAACACTCTAACCGGTTGGATAGCCTACAGCTACAAGGGTAAGTTGTGGCTCCACGCTCTACCTGCAGGGAAGCCTACAATGATTTTGGAGAAGCGTCTGTACAGCTGCATATATTAATTAATACATTAATTTAAAGGGCAAACTGTAAAACAATACGTTCTTTCGATAAAGGATGGATTTTACTTTCCCGCAAAAAAAATGGATTTTACTGACTTCAGATGAAGCATCATCAAGGATACAAGCAAAACAAGCACATAGTCGGTCGCCGCATTGTTAAGATGCACACATCCAACATCACGTGAGAAAGACGCTGCAAAATAGCAAAGTCATAGTACACCAAACCTAGGCCTAGGTGAGGAAAACAACAAAGATATGCGATCGGCAAACTACAACAATGACCATATCCACACCAATTATCTCATGGCACAAAATGGACCACGAGGTTTTTCAACAGCAACGCGGAAGGGAGTGACACTCAGAGGGTGTTTGTTTCCAGGGACTTATTGGTTTAGGGAGTTAAAAAAGTCCCTATAAGTCCCATCTAAACCAAACAGGAGGGACTGATAGGGACTTAAAGTGGGCATTTGGAACTTATGAAATAAGATTTTCAATGAGGGACTTATAGGGACTTATAGTTGTAATATGGTCTTTTAGTACATGTTAAGTCCCAGGAACCAAACAGGTAGGGACTTGAGACTTATAAGTTGGGACTAAAAGAAGTTCTAGAACTTATGAACCAAACAGGGCCTCAAGTGCCGATGTCACCGGATCCAACCACTCAAGGCCAAAATCTAAGTTGACACCCTAAAGAACTAGTCCAAGCATATCTGAACAATGCCTTCAACCTGATAACAACATAAAAACATCGACATTGCCAGGTATATAAAATCCTAAGTGCAAAGTACAAGGATGTAACTGAAGTCCTTATGCCCATGTCTATTTTCATTTATTTGATCTCTCCCAAATACAACTAGTATCTGTTTCGGTCCGGGAAACTAAAACTTTGTAGGATGAAAATAGCTTTGTTTGAATCCCTGTCTAATATCAAAACTTCCCGTGGGTTTGATACCATGGGTCACCCTTCGGGAAAAAGGTGATGACAAACTACATTTGAAACCGGATCAAGAGTTATCACTACGGCGCCCGCCTTGTCCGTCCAAAACAATAAAGCACCAAAACTGAACATTTCTGTATTTGAAGGTGAAGACTAAAACACTTTGATTCAGTTTATTGAACAATTATTTGACGCTTCAAGGTCGGCATTAGACCAGAGAGCTAATTATGCCATCTCATGCTAAAAGGGCACAACAACTTAGATGGTTAGTTTTCTGGTGGGGGTCATATTTATCTAGATTTACTTTCTCTCCGCGATGTGCGTTCAATAGAAGAAGATGTTTTCACCGACTACGAAGACGTCTATAGTTGTCAATCTCAAGATGTTTCCATACCGTGTTCAAAAATATATTTTTCACTTTAAAAATGATTTTTTAGATAACCTTTTTTTAATGAGTGGGGCATGGCCTCCACTCACTTGTAAATCTTGCACCAACCAGGACTCAACACTTTTAAAATGTGCAAATCTTGCATTACTTATGGAGGTGCTCTGAGCCCTTAACATGACTCAATAGCCACTCAATCAACACAAGGCAGCATTATTGAGCTACCCTAATTAAGCAAGTTGGCATGTATAAAAAACATCTGTCACTGTCGAATGTTGATCCGCTCCCAGCAAGCACGTCAACATTTCACGTGTCCCTGTGAACCACCCAACAGAGATCTTTAACAGCAGCTTATCGATCATGCCGTGGCCGCGCTCACCGGGCTCATGAACTCCTCGTCGGCGACGAGCCTCCCGAGCGCCTCCGGGTCAAGGCACACCTCCAGAGCCATGCTCCCGCTGCCGCCTCCGCCCTCGAAAACCGTCGCCGTCCCGTCCATCTTGTTCGCCGGGCCGCTCCGCACGCCCACCGGCCGGCCCCACCCGAAGTCGTTCCCGTACACGTCGAACCGCGGCGAGTTCCCGGTCACTACCAGCGCCGCGGGGGGCGGCGACACGCACGCGAAGCTTGGGTTTCGCGGCCAGGACGCGAGCCTGTCCCGCTCGCTCGCCTCGTCGAACGACGCCACCATTCTGTTCAGCAGCGACGCGGTCCATCCCAGCCCCAACTTCAGGATCTCGCCGGCGGTGGACGTCGCCTCGGCGCGCACCACGGCGTTGCCCGCGTAGCCCGCCGGTACGCCGTCCAGGCGGCCCCGGCATCCGACGAGCAGGGCGTACGTCGTGCTCTGGTCCGGTGCCAGCCTCCTCGCCCGGCACACCGCGATCCACAGGTGCGCCAGCAGCGCCTGCAACGAGGAGATGGTGGCGCCGCCACTGCCGACCGCCTCGGCGTTCGCCTTTTCTTTGAGCTTCCTTACGCTCTCGCCGGAGAAATGGAGGAAGCACTCCTCCTGCTGCACCGATGATGAGTGCTCATGGCCAGCGATGTCCTCCAGTTTGCGGAAGGGCAGATGGATCGGAACACGGCAGCCGTCAAGGAACCACCTCCTGTGCACCGGCAGCGGCGAGGAGATGGCTGCACCGTCACTCTGACGACGGCTGATCTCGGACCAGGTGTTGAAGAGGTGCCAGAAGGCCGTCCCGTCACCGACAGCGTGGTTGAGCGACATGGCGACGAAGACACCGTCGGCGAGCTCGGTGACCTGCGCGGCCAGGAGCGGGTGGGATCCCGCGGCGGCGTCCACGCTGACAAGCCCGTTGAGCGGGAAGAAAGAGTGGACTACCCCTGGTATATACAGCGGCGCGACGATGTCGGCCACGGTGACGCCGGGAGCCGCGGCGTGGACGAGCTCGGCGCCCTCCCTGCTGCAGCGGAGCGAGACTGCGATGCTCATGCTTCCGCCGTCCCTGACCGGCGCGACGGCGAGGCGGCCGGCGTAGGGGTAGAAGCGGCCCAGGGCGCGCGCGAAGGACGACGCGAGGCGTTCGACGACGTGGGCATGGTGTCCCTGTCCTCCTGCTGCCGTGGTGGGACTGGGAGGCTTGGGCAGGAGGACACCCATCTGGATGTACTCCAAGGTGATCATCCGGAGGTCCCATGGCGTCAGGTCGACGGTCGTCTCCGGCTCCGGCCGCAGCCAGGCCGTCGTCTGCTCCGGCAGGACCATGCGTCGGGACATGATCTGGACATGGTTCATCTTGGTTCACCTCTCTCACTAGCGGTGGAGTGGGCGTAGGCAGGACTGGTCTGCACAGCTGATGGTGTTTGTGGGCTTGTGGCCACATCTTAAATAATCTGAACTTGGCAGTAATCGGGCCAGTTTATTTGCTGATACGATTGATCATTGAAAGGAAAGGATCATCGGGGAGATTTGTATGAGATCTCGCACTTAGGTGAGATCATGAGATCAACATAAAAAAAACATATTCAGACATTTTTAACAAAGCTGCGGAGACTTGTGGGAGATCTCACATTAACATTAGGTGAGATCAATTTTTTTGAAAAAAAAATACATTTTCAAACGTTCTTAATTTTTTTTGTAGACACACAACATTGTTTGATGTATAACCTCAGAAAGTTATAACTTCTAATTCAACTTACAGTAATAGAAAAAAAATCAAATGTGAATAGTGTCAAAGTACTATTCATCCAAAGTTGTTACCATTCACATTCGAATTTGTCTTTTTTGAGTCTCTAAATGTTGTTAAATAATTTCAGATTTTTTTTGAATGTCTAAATATGATTTTTTGGGTGTTGATCTTGCGATCTCACCTAAAATGTGAGATCCCATATAAGTCTCCCCCTCACTAGCACATCGTCTGAACTTAACTTATGTCTAGGTCTGGGTGGTCAAAATTTGCACAAATCCTTGAGGTCGGTGAGTTTCTGGATACAATCCCACAACCAACATGTTGTGTTGAGTTGTTTGTAGCAGACGAGATATCCAATTCAGACACGGATGGAGAGAGAAAGAGAGGGGTGAAGTCACTAAGTATATGAAATTGCTTTACACACGACACTGTCTGCACGATTTGTGAACAGTGCGTCCGCCCCAACAACGCTTCCTGCATGTACGCTAGCTGTTGACACTGCCAAGTAGGATTGTGCAGGCGTCAGCCGTAAATTTGTCGTCCGTGTAGTAGCAGTGCTCCTATGTATACTCCGGGATAAATGAACCGTTATAACCCTGTAGATTTACCACATGTGCCACTGCATATAGATTTTTCCAAAAGCCAAAGTAAGCAAACTTTAACCGAAGAAACCATTTATATGTACAATTTCAAACATATACGACATGAAAATACAGATAAAGGTTTCCCCCGAACCCCCTTCCAAAAGGAGCAGAAGGGAAAAGACTAGACCTATTCGATAGATAAAGTCTAGATTTCCCTACTATTTCAAAGGAAAGGAATAGGACTCTATAGTTTGGTCCACAAAATAAAAATGTAGGGCATTTTTTGTCCTACAATAGGTAATCTACCAGAAAAAAAATCTCCTAGAACTAGTTTATAGAGTGGAGTGCACCACCACAAAAGAAGATGTAAATCTTTCTCTTCTTTAAAACAAAGTCCTCTGGTAAACCTCAAAATGAATCATATACATTATTCCATTTTTCTCACGATATACGATTGTTTAGCTCACAACGAGTACTTATCATTCTTATCGGGTAGCTTGACTTCTCTTCTCGAACTTGTGATACATGAATCAAGTTAACAATTAACCTTAGCTACATCTTCATGGTGGTGAGATTTGCGAACCAGCATTTTGCCAAGAAACTAACAATTCATCGTGGTGAGATTTGCCTTTTCTGCCAATGGGCGCCTTATGGCAAGATGGACGAAGACCGTGCGATCGTGGATACCAGACTCCTTGATGAGGAATCCATAGCGATCGGCGACGAGGTGAATTTCACCTACTTTAAGGCCATTATTGGTGGCCGGGTTGATCAGCTTCCAAATCCATTACCGGATCCATTCGATGAGAGGGATGATCTGGTAGCTCTTGCCATCGAGAAGTCTCCTGTCATGGTGGATTAATCTGTTTTAGTACAGGAGAACACGTAGGATCTTGATCTACGCGTAGGTATGGCTATCCAACGCTCAGTGTGGCGCAAATTCAATTCTCTGGTTTCTTTCTCTCTGCCTCTGTTGCTTCGACCAAAAGATTCAAGGATGAACTGTTCTACTGTTAGTTCTTATCTTAATGCCTGCTTAGGAGGAATTGCTTCAGACTTCAGGGTTCAACATCTTTGAGGTAGAAATTTTTTAGTCTCAGTATTTCTAAGAAAGTGGGGTTCTTTGTACATTACCTAAAGAGTTTTAGTTGCAAATAATTTCAAGTATTCTTCAATCTATGGGGGCATGGTGGGCCTGATTTTGTCAAAGTATTTCATGCTTGGGAACAAGAGACCTCCGTTCTTGGACCACAGTGAGTATTAAGAAATCTTCTGCGCCCTCTAAACAGATGCTCGCAGATGCTAATTTCACTTCACTTGGCACCTCAAAGCAACCCTTTCTTAATCAGGTTGTCTATGGTTATGAAAGACTGAACTTTTTTTCCCCTTTTCCTCCCGCGACGCTCCCGTGGGCGTCCGGGGGGCCTAACCCTAGCGCCGCCGCCGGTCGCTCCCTCCCCCACTCCCTCCTCCCTCGCCGCCGCCGGAGGGCGCGAGCGGGCAAAGCCCGCCCGTCGCAGGCGGCGGCGGGGCTCTCTCGTCTCCGCGCTCGAGGGGTACGGCGCGGGCCGGATGCCTCAGCCCGGATGCGGCGCTTGGCGCTGGGCGCAGCAGCTCGACGGCGCTCCGGCGTGGGCCGGCGACAGGGCGTGGCGGCGATGCGACGGGCAGCGCGGAGGTGGTGCCGGCTGGAGGTCGGTGGTGGCGG